AAGCCACTGGACTTGGAGATAATTTGTTATGTAGCAATAGAACACTAAAAACTGGCATTTTATGGTTCTCTCTGTCTCCGTCTGTAGAGTGGATCCAGTGGCTAGATGCCTGGGTTTCCACACCTTCTTTTCAGCACTATTTCCTATTTATTCCTAGATCCCTCCTAATCATTATTCCAAGGTACAAAGTAAATACCTTATATAAAATGCTAACAACATACAAGAACACCATGCCAGTCATGTGGGGAACATATATTTAGCCCTGCATCAGGGCCTGGTCTGAACAAGAGGGTATATGCTACCATATGGAAAGGATGAGGAGGTACTTCTGGAAAACATTTCTTCAAGTGGGGTTCCAGGATTTTATCCAACTTCTGACACTAAAGATTAGATAGAAGAGCAGTCACTTCTAGACACTGTGTGTTTCTAGAAAATTGAAGTCAAGCCTAAGAAAATGATCCATAAATGTGAACTTAAGTCCTTAATATTGTGGATTTTAAAGAGCAAGTCTATGACAACATCCTCCTGAGGACATAAAAATGCCCTGGATTTAATGGATAAAGTTAAATTTTATTGGCAGGGAGTTTATCCAATGTGCTGTGTCCAGAAAGCCCAAGGTTAGTGCATAGCCATGGATGCTTGGGATTGCTGTGAGGTGAATACCACAGACTTCCAAAGGAGACTGAGGCAGCACTTCCTCACCTTATACCAAGCGAGACCTGCAGCTACATTTAAAATGGAGTTGCCTTCGTTGTTTTTACCAGAAAGAAAAATCTGATGCATATGAAGGGCTCTGTCCTCAGAATTATATACGTATACAGGACTTACATATAATTCCGGCCCATCATGAATCCCAGACTAAAAACCCTTGTCTGGGTGACACACCAACGTGATGTGGACTTCACCCCTAGAATGTTTTCTCTCACACGCCACTCCTTTATTTGTCCCACAGGAACCTAAATCTTACTGTGATTCTTCCCACCCTCTGGCAGAAACAAAAGAAAAACATACAAGGAAGCACTGCAATAATAATTTTATATGTACATCACCAAATAAACATCAGAGAATAACGGAATGTATAATCTATCAGACTAGGTGAGTATTTTTAATCAACCTCTTGCCCATATATAAGTCTTGACATGCACTTCATATTTCATTTCTATTTCTATATGTTGTGCCCAAGGCAGGGTGGCTGCTTGTTTATACAAGCTTCAATATTGTTTACTAGTGGCACCAGATCCTTCCTCTGTCAAGCTATTTTTGAATATGTTTTCTGGCTTTGAAGGCCCAAGAACACCAAAACCAGTTATATAAACTATATATACATATATATATGTATATATATATATATACATGTATACATAGTTCAAAAACCATGAAATGCTGCCTGTTACAAGCTTGAATATGTTCTGTAGGGACATGAAACATAATCACATTGCTTATTTCATAGACATCTGTTTCAATATTTAAAATTATTTTATTTTAGACCATCACTTTGCTAAGCCATGGTCTGACTATGTGGCTCCTTGAGCCACAGTCACTGTGTTTCCTAGACTTGGCCCTCTCCTACCTTGAGAAGGTGAATCTCATCTCTCTCTAATTTACTTTCTAAATAAACTATATTATCTCATTTAAAAAATTAAAAAATGAAATTATTTTATTTTAGAAATGATTAAATTATAAAAAAATACGATGTTAGGGGGGAGTGGAGAGGCACATGTGACATTCTGAGATGGACTGGAGCTCTATTTCCAGAGAATTCTGTTGAAACTACTAAAAAAAAATAGATTACAGTTACTGAAGCTTGCTACATGCCAAAAACTTGGCTAAGTCCTTTACATAAATCACCTCATTTAATCATCACAAAAAACCAATTGAAGGCATAACAAACTGGCAAGATGATTATCAAATTTGTTTCCCTTTCCTCTGAGCACACAGGTTGCTTTTTGCAGCTTCCCTTGCAGCTGAATATGACCTTGTGACTGGTTCTGGCCAATGAAATGTGGGAAAACAATAAAGTAAGTATCTTCCAGGCACAACTCGTAAAATCTTATCTGATCTTCCACCCTCTGGGACTTTCCCATCTGCTGAATGTCTGCAGAGAATCTTCAGAGCAGAAGGTAGAGCTAAAAGATGGAAGGAACCTGGGTTGCTGAATCACCACAAAGGGTGTCACTCTCAAAATACTCACATTGAACTGTTATGTGAACAAAGAATATACTACTACAATCCCGAGTCATTGATATTTTAGGGTTATTTGTTTCAGCAGTTAGACTTTACTAAATGTATTTTTATGAATTTAGAGAGGTTAAATAACCTATATTTTCATAGTTAAATAGGATTTGGATCTAAGTGATTTGCCTTTAGAAATGTAATTAACTGCTATTATATTCTTTTAACAAATTCACTTTTATTATATGTAACATAAACTGCTCCATACTTTATTTCCTATATTTGTAGGAGGTGGGTGGATTGGGCTTCAAAGTTGGGGATAGAAAAAATATATTTTCCTCAAAAAGCCATTTGATTTCTATAGCTCCAATTACCATGCCAGGGGGGACTTTATTGCTTAAGCAACTTTGTGATGCACCTTATAATCCTGTGAACATTTCTTTGCAGAGGTTTTCTAGAAGTTACAAATGCTCCATAACAAATTACCCCAAAATCCAGTGGCTTCAAGCAACATGTATTCATTATATCTTCCAGTTACTGTGGGTCAGGAATTCGGGAGGCACTTATTATGAAGGTTCTAGCTCAGGGTCTCTTATGAGGCTGCACTCAAGTTGTCAGCTAGGGCTGCATCATCTTGATTAGTGCTGGACAGTTCACTTCCCAGGTGGCTCACTCACAAGACTGGCAAGTTGGCTGGCTGTTGGCAGGAAGCCTCAGCTCCTTCCCACAGGGCTGTGGGACTACTCTCACAACATAGAAGCCTACTTCCCCCAAAGTAGGTGAGTCCAGCAACCAAGGCAAAGACTGCAGGGCCTTTTATGAATAATGTCAAAAGTTCCACCTCATTACTTCTGCAATATCCTACGGATCCTAGAGGCTAGCCCTATTCGGAGTTGCAGAGAATTGCACAAGAGGATGAACACCAGGAGACAAAAATCGCTGGGAGGTACTTTGAAGGCTAACTGTCACATTCGCCCCAAACCTGTGTGCTGAGAGCCTACTGAGGAACAAAACAGATAAAAGCTCCTGCTTTCATGAAGCATACATGCTAGTGGAGATCAGAAAAGCAATGGATCTAATCAATGAGTAATTTACACAGTATATGCTATTATTTGTGAAGTGCTACATGTTGAATACAATTTACAGGGAGCCCTTGGTTTGAACGGAGCCCCTGCCTTACGCCCAAGGGATCAAACCAAAATGAAGTCACTCATGCTGAAGTTCCAGGCCACCAAGCCAAAACTAAGTTGCTTATCTGACCTTCCAGGAAATCAGGAGAGAGAGAGAACAGCCAAATCCCCAGGCAGGTCAGTTTCAGCCAACAGGGTAAGGAAGTCCCCCATAACTTTTACAAGGAAAGTAACTTTAAAACAACTTTTGTTCTCTGTTTCAAAAATGCTTTCTTCAGCTCTTTTCTCGGTCTATAAAGTCAACTTTCTCTGCTCAGCTCATCAGAACACTCATTCTACTTTACAGCATAGGTGTTGCCCAATTCTAGAATTGCAAATAAAAACCAGTTAAGATCTTTAAAGTTGTTATGATTTTGTCTTTTAACATATACTGGAAAAGGAAAAGAGATCTGGGTAGGCCTCACTTAGAACACACTAAGGAAGTGAGAACATGCCATGTGGCTTTAGGAGGAACAGTGTTCCAGGCAACGGGAACAGCAACCGCAAAGGTCTTGAGGTAGAAGTGTGCCTGTCATGTCCAAGAAACAGCAAAGCAGTCAAGGTGGCTATAGCAGAGGTATAGGAGTTAAGATCAGATGAATAACAGTGGCACAGAGACCACATGGGACCTTATAGGCTCCTGAAGGATTCTGACCTCCACTCTGAGTGAATCGAAAACCACTGGAGGGTTCTCAACAGACGACTGATAGGATCTGACTTAACATTAAAACAAAATCTTTTTCTGGTGGTTGACATCAAAATGAATGCCGTGGGTGGAAGAAAGGAAGCAAATTAGGAGGCTCTTGTAAAACTTCAGACAAGAGGTAAGGAAAGTGTTATCAGTATAGGTGGTGAGGAGTGGTCAGAGTCTATATTTATTTATCATTGTGGGCAAAGTCTTTATTTAGGAGGAGCAGCATTTTTTATTAGATTCCAGAGGTGTGGCTGCCAAGTGGTGCCTTAAGGAAACCTGCACAAGTCTGGAGAAGCTTCATAGGGACCTACTACTAAGAACAACAACATGGGACAGATGAGTGAAGCTCTGTGTCCCTTGCACCTAGTTTCATAAGGACAACTTTGTGTTAACATAGTTCATAATATGGGCTGAGGTAAGTCTTCCTAAGAAAGACCAGACAAGACAGACAGGCCACACATACACACACACACACAGTACGAAAAAAATATATACCATTTATAAAATTGAAAGGCAAACTTTAGGTAAAACATTTGCAACACAAAGAAAGTATAATATCCCTAGTATTAAGAGAAACTTATGAATTCATAAGAAGACAACCAAGCAAAAATAGGCAAACGGCATTTCCAAAACGAGGCTCATAACAGTACTTTCACTGAACTGTGAAGATAAAATCACAATAAATATAAAGTGCTCAATGTAATTCCTGGCACAGAATTAATGCTCAATAAATGTTGCCCACCACTGTTGCCTCCATAACCACTATAGTTGTCACCATTACCTCCATTGTTGTTATTTCTGCTACCACCTTTACCATTATCATCACCACCATCACCATCAGCAATTCCATCATCATCACAGTGTAGGAGCCATTAGTAATGTAAACCTAATCAACTCTGAAGGTCAATTCCATGTAGCTTCCCCCACAGTAAATTCTTCATTGCAAGTGACCAATCATACATTACCTTCTCATGGTTTTCTATTAGGATCTCAATGACAATATTCTGAAATTTTATATCCATGATGGCTGCTACTGTTTCTTCTTGAGGCCGCAGCAGAGTGGGTCCAAACACCACGCCAAGGTTTGCCACCGTCATCAAATTCTGCTTGTGATTGTTAGCAACACTGAGAAGGAAAAGAAAAGACACAAATGAGAGAAATCATGCATGGAGATAGCCAGCCTCCCTGTGCCCTTCCTACCTTTCTATCTATAGATTTCTTATTTGTCGGAGCCAGAATTTGGGACACCCTCGGATATCATAGGAATCAAAAGAGAGACTTTTTTACTTGTATTGACATCTACCAAAATTTCAGAAATATTAGCATCCAGGCTATTTTGTTGTTTCAGGATATGACACTATTTACCATTTCCATTTTACCTGAAACAAGTAACCAACCCAGACAATTATCTGCCAAATTATTATTATTATTATTATTATTATTGAATTGGAGTCTCACTCTGACACCCAGGCTGGGGTGCAGTGGCATGTTCAAGGCCACTGCAGTCTTGACCTGCCAGGCTTAGGCGATCCTTCCACCTCAGTTTTCCAAGTAACTGGAACTACAGACATACGTCGCCAAGCCCAGCTAACTTTTTGTGATTTATTGTAGAGAAAAGGTCTCACCAAGTTGCCCAGGCTGGTCTCAGGCAATCCTCTAGCTTCGGCCTTCCAAAGTGTTGGGATTACAAGTTGAGCCACTGCACCCAGCCTCTGCCAAATTATTAACCTTTGCACATCTGACTCACTGTTCTGCAAGTCCAGGTAACTGCTAATCCCTTTTCATTACAATTTATGTATTTGGCTGCTGCTTAAACCACTGTAATCATTATCATTTCCTCTAGTGCAAATACAAGAACGCTTGACAGCTTTAGTGCATTTGCAAACATAGGCACAAAATAGAACTACTTTTTTAAATGGGTAGATCTGGATATTTAAATCCAAATTAGAAATTCATCACTTTAGACTCAAAGTACTAAAGACCCATCCAACTAACATGTGGCTTACATTAAGTGAAACATGTGGCATAAACAGAAATAAAAATGAACTAGTATATATCCATGTATATGGTTATGTTTATATTGTTACTTATACACAAAGTCTAACAAGCACACAGGGTCAGCAGTAGCTGGATCTGAGTAATTTGCTAAATAAATATGCATATTTTGTCTATTCTTTTATTTTAAAGATGTGGGCATATTTTTGAATAAATAACTACTAAAACATATATCTGAACTTCATGCCTAGGCCACCATGACCTAGCTATAAAACTCATTTGCTGGTCCTGTGTACAAAAATATACAAATTATCCACTGGCAACAAATAACAAATAACTTAAAAGTTAACGTCATTCAGTTTTGCTGAGAAAAATACCAGGAGTTTCCTTAAATCACCTGTTGGAAGAAGGAAGCTATTCATTACTAACTTGAAACTGGATTGTAATTGGGTAGGAATCGGCAGTTTGCACAGACTTGCCTCCCTAGCATTTAGTGCTATTTATACCGAGGACTTTCTCACACAATTCTATAAATGACTGTACTGTTTCTCTTGTATACTTCTATTTTGTGGGAAGAAAAGAGATTATATTGCCTAAGTGTTGGTTTTTAAACTGAGTCTTTATTTAAATATTATATCAACTAATTTTATCAGCTGACATGTACTTGTCTATGACTTTTTAGGGCTAAGAGTTTAATTTAACTTCCTCCTCTGAAAGGAGCAGAGCATGGTTACCTCTATGAAACTTTACCTGTGGCCCACCCCAGTTAGGGAAACAATTTGCCTTTTGACTGATGAGCAGCACCTGCAACAGGGAAAGTAGCTACCCAGGCCCTAGCCTGTTCTGGTCCACATAAGAATATTTTATACACATTTTCTTAGTTCTTGCTGAATCTCCCTGGTTTTACTTTTAGTTTTCCATTCTACCCAGAGTTACATCATGTGTCCAATCTGAAAGAGTTAATGCAGATGGTATAATTCCTGCCTGACAAGGGGAGAGACTTTGGTTCTGTGCCTCAGCCAATCAGGAAGTATGCACATTTACTAGCTGTTTCTAACATCACTCCTTTCAACATCAACTCCTGTGTGTGGGAAGAGAATTCTATGTCCTTCTACTTCTCCTCCCAAATGATCTAAGTCAGCAGACTTACCCCTCTTGTCACAAAAGTCCCTTGTGCAAGTGAATCAACAAGCTATTTATGTATGAAAGCACTTTCAAATTGTAGACCAGTATAAAAACATATGGTTTGGATGATGGTCATTTTTCACCATCTCTTCTCCACACTGTATCTAACTAAAGCAATAGCCTCCAAACCAGGCTCCCTGACTCAGGAACCTCTAAATTCAGCTTTATCTGGCCTGCCACCACCAGTTACTATCTAAACCCCAGCTCAGACCATGTCATTCCTCTGCTGAAGACGACAGTAGTCTCATACCTCTCCAGGTTTAGCAATGCTTCTGCTGTTAAGTTGTTCTGATACAATGACTATAACCCTTTGGTGGGCCCTAGCACAAAGGCTGAACTTTTCTAAAATAGCACATCTTTTCCCCAAGTTACCTCTAAGCTTTCCTCTGTCACCTCCCAGCTCTGAATCTCTGGGCAAACAACTCAGTATGTCTAAGCTTTTGTTCATTCATCATCTTTTTAAAAAGGGGAGCCTGGGGTGAATAAAATACCTATTCCATGAGGGTGCTGTGCAGATTCACGTGCTACCGCATGGGAAATGGAGTGATTACTGCACACACTCACTCTCCACCCTCATTCCACTCTTACACCTCTCTGCTATTATGCATGTCATTCCTCTCCTGGAATGTTCTCATGCTTGTTTCTTTGCTTGGCAAACTGTTGATCTGCAAGGCTCAGCTAAAATGGCCTTCTTCTTCTCCTCTTTCCCAGTCCTCTACCCTGACAGAAGCCAAAGTGTCAGCCTGCACCTGCATTTATTCCACTGTGCTGGTGTCTCTCTCATGGCCCAAGTAGAGGAACTTCGGTGTTTTACTTGGGAGCACCAGTACTGAGCATGGTACCTGGCACGGGAGAAGCACACTGAGTGCTCACCAAGGTGTTAAAAGAGGAGGATGTTTCTGATTCTGAGTCGCCACAAAACAATGGTTTCCAACCCAGCTACTTGCTCATAAAACTTCTAATTATTACTGGGGTTTTTGGGGAATGCGTCTCAGCTATCCCAACCTTCCTTTTCACAGTCTCGAGCTGTGTTCCATTTCTTAGATTTAATTAATGAGTAATAATGACTCTGATTTGCAGGCCCCAATGCCCAGAGGCATTTGGAAAAAAGGTACAGTAATTCTGGATCAGCAACTCTGAATATAAATAAGCTTGAGGCTAACCAGCATAATTCATTTCACTTTTAATGATCCATTTTATTTTAGAACTTAAAAAACACATTGATCTAAGTCTTAGGAAACTTGTTGGGTAGAAAGCTATACCTTTCATGACTAACTGCCATGATCTTGAGTACACGGAAGTAATACATTGATCTGTCACTTGATTACTGCTGCCCTCAGGTCAGTACGACCATGATCATTACTCCACAGTGAATTATTCATGGCCTGAGATGTCTAGGTCTCCGAAAGAAAGCCCTAGACCTCAGCCTCTGCTGGCACCAGCCATCCATTATGGCTTGATGAATTTACAGATGTGTGGGAAACAGCACTGGCAGAGCACTGGGAAACCGGGCCAGCAGAGACCATGGGATACATTCATTAGAAAGGTCCATAAAATGCCCAGAACCTGCTTTCTGTTTTGGTAATTGAGCCATCTGGGCTCCTCCTCACACAGCTCAGAAAGTCATGTTGAGTCTTGACTTTCAACCCACACAGAAGTCTTTTGTGCACCCCACACTGCATGGAAGGAGTCTGACACGTGCCCATCAGACACAGAATTCTCTGCTGTGGGTTTGAGAGAACTGCCTTTGGAGGCTGAAAAGAAACAGTTCCACATACGATATTCACTTGGGAGGGACACAGGCTTTTTTGTGACCATTAGTTTGCTGATCAGCTAAGAACCAACACATCTCCTGAGGGGCAAGACTTCAGGACAGTTGTTGGGGGTCAGGGGAATCTGCACCTCACATTCCAGTCAGTTCCCTTATGAGGGAATCAATGAGGAAAGAGCATTTTTCCATGAAAAATGTCCTTGGCAGAGAGGTGTCTTGCCACTTAGTTTCAAGAGAAAATTGATGGGGACTTTGCATTGGTCTGATACCCTTTTAGAGGCAGGAAGTAAATCACTTCCAGTTGAAGATGGTGGTGATGATGGCAGTAAAGGGAACACTAGGAAGGGAGTAGATAGTAGCCAACCCTTTGGAGGTCTGTGATGCAAAGAGAACCCCCCTATCCCATGCTATTATAGAAATCACAGCTGTTTCCTAGAGTTTAAATGAGTACCAGAGCTCTGTAAGTGCTAAGAAGCACTTTGTTTTTTTGGGTTTTTGTTTGTTTGTTTGTTTGTTTGTTTGTTTTTTGAGTTGGAGTCTCACTCAGTTGTCCAGACTGGAGTGCAGTGGCCGCTCCCAGCCACCACAGCCTCGACCTGCTGGGTTCCAGTGATCCTTCTGCCTCAGCCTTCCAAGTAGCCAGAATTATAGGCATGCGCTACCACGCCCGGCTGATTTTTCGATTTATTGTAGAGATGAGGTCTCGCTGCCCAGGCAGGTCTCAAACCCGCGGGTTCAGGCAATCCACTCGCCTCAGCCTCCCAAAGGCGCGGGATTACAGGCTGAGCCACCGAGCCAGGCTAGAAGCACTTTGTCATAACAGACTGGAGTACTCCAACAAAACATAAGCCTACTACAGAGTTGCAAACAGGCTGCACCTGAAGGCTTGGAGAAACGACAAAGTTGAGTCCTGGCTTCACTGGACACACCACAGTGACAGATTAGCAATGTTTTATGGGCCAGATGGGTAGAGTGAGAGCTGGTCACCACATCGCTGCTATCCTTTATTTGTTTGTGTCAGCTTCCAATATTAAATTATAATGATAACTTAGGCTTGCAAGGTGTTTTAGACTTGACAAAAAGCTCTGCAACAACTTTGTTCTTTTTTTTAAAGAGACAGGGTCTTACTCTGTTGCCCAGGCTGGAGGTCAGTGGCATGAACATAGCTCACCAC